GGGTTGAAAAGACGACGACTAGAAAGAGATCGTTCCGAGACCGCCGATCGTCGCCTTGTTGAGCGCGCTCTGGATGCCCTGATGCCTCCTAATAGCCTTAATGAAGTGTGTACACCTAATATGGATGTAGAGTCGAGCGCGGCATCATAACGACACTAATTTTTAAGCATAACCATACACCCAGCTTCACAACGTGTGAACTAGAGGAGTTCTCAAAGATCTTTGCTCCCGCTGGTAAAAATCGCGTACACAATTTTACACGGAACTCCTTTCGCTTCGCAGCGAAATGATTTACGTCCTTTACTGCAAATTCTCAATAATCTTTTGAATTTTCGATATTATAAAAAAATATCCACGTGCATTTACATTCCAATTGTGTCAAAAATAATTAATATCGAATATAAAAAAATGTTCAATTTATATAACTGTTATATATTCTGGATTTAGCAAAGAATTTTTCGAAAAAGTTTGATTTTTACGGCACATTTCAAATTGTATAAAATAGCCAAGTTAAAAAAAGTCCGTGAAGTAATCCTCTATTGGAAATATTTGTCCAGAAATATTTATCGTACATAAGTAAAATCGCACAAAATCATTAAATCAAAGAATGAATATACACATTCTGATTTTGATATAATCTTTAAAATAATATATACATGTAGTTTAAGAGCCGGATTATTTAGTATAAAATATACTTATCAATTAATTACATCATGAATTAACAGAATGTTAATCAGATAAACATTATTAATCGCCAGGACAACTTAGTAGAAATTTGTTTGTTCTCTCGTTTTATTATTAAATGAGTCTCGCTACGGCAAATCGAGTACGCTCGCACGAGAGCGATTATTATTTCGCAAAGGCAACATTAATCCTAGGTAATGACACTCGACGAATTATTAACGTCTGAAAAATCATAATGTTTTGTACGCGATTCTAAGCACTATATCTCCGTCTACGTAAAATCGTTGAGGTAAACCGTTAAGTTATTATGGTTGTATTACGTGTACCTGCTTAGAAATATTATTTCGACTGCGCATTCAAATTAGTCTATGGTTTTACATGAGTCGTTTTGCACGAAGCTTATGCAGAAACTGTAACAATGTTGATTGCAATACTTAGCCGAGGTATCGGATGGGGGGATGTTGAATTACGCATAAGCTCTATAAATTAATTGATAGATTTGTGGTTTTAATAATAACGTTGCTTATTTAATCATATTATAATACATATATTATGTTAAATTGAAAATGAATTTTAAGTTCCTTTAAAGTTCCTTTAAAGTAATTTTAAATTCCTTTCTAAATTCTAAAAATAAGATAATAATTATTTTCTTATTAAGAAAGAGAAAAAATATACATATTATTATATAATTTTATTACATGTATTTCGAATGTATTTGTAGTAAACAAATAAAAACCCAGATTCAAATAGTAGCATTTGGCTGCTAAATGCGCGGTAAAATTACGAGCCACAGTCTCGAAAGTAAGATAAGCCCCAATGATGACGATATAGATGACAGCGGTCTTTATCTCGGCAGATGGAATAATAGAAGTCATTTGGGCTGCGTTATTAACGTCGGTTTTCGCGCATTATCGCGATAATTTTTGCAAGCAGGGAAAATCTTTCTAAATGACATCACTGGCGGCGATTTTTCTCCGTCAAGAAACATAGGAGGACAAGACGAAAGAAAGGGGAAGGGAAACTCCATCGGTAGACGCAGACGGAAGCGTCGAAGGATGAAGAAGTAGAAGTATGAAGTGAGCATATTACTATTGAGAATAAGTACCTGGCTTCGAGATGCATGCTCTGTCGCGGAGAGAAGAGTACGGACCGATGGGGGATGGACGACGGGGGTGTAAATGGGGTGGCACAATGGGCACTAATGGATCTCAAGCCGTCACAAGAGGCGCTGCTTTTAATCTAATTGTCCTTCGTAGCAACCGCGATCGCGATCAAAATGGTATTCAAATGTAATCCTTCATCTATACAGAAACTGCAACGTTTTATAAAAAGCGAGAGCGATATCCGTAAGTCGGATGTGTTTAAAGCCGGAAATTTCTTTCTCCTTTCATGTCGGAGGATGCGAATGTGATTCCTGTTTTAGCATAAGAACAATTTAAGACAAATACACACACATACACAAATGACAAAAGATAATAATAATAGGCAACGCTTTCAATTTCAAATAATTTTAAATAATAATATTAATATATTTGTTATTTATTATTGGTATATAATATTTCGTAATTTTTATATATTTATAATATTTAGCAATTTAATGCATGAGACAAAAAGATATTTTCCTTAGAAATGTTCATAAATAGTTTATGTTTAGGCATTAATGTCTTCTGACATATAGCATTTCCATTTTCTCCTTTACGAATGTTACTCGCATGTGTTAAATATCATATTGTATATACTCTAGACGCCGCGAGATTTAGGGCCGAAATTCAGCAATACGGTCTGACGTACGAAATCGGAGCGAAGTGGACCTCGAGCGTTTCTTTCTTCTTGTAGTGGTTCCATTTAACGGAACTTTGCGGCATTATGCGATACGGTCATTGAGCTAAAACGCAAGCAGAGTATTTCAAAAGCGTGCACATACTTCTTCTAATGTGGCAATGCGAAATGTCTGCGCCGCTTCTCGAATGCAGCACTCTGCAAGTTTCTTCGTCTGAAAAAGAAAGATATACACACCTACTCATCGCGGCAACCTATCGTTGCTATTTACGTTTCTGCCGATGCTTTTTACGTATTTTTCTATTCTAATTCTGTTAAAGCGCATCGTTAAAGTCGCCGTTAACAAATTTTCACCCATAAGCCTCTATGAAATACTTTTGAAATGAATTATCATTCAACCAGCCGCGTTATCTGTGCGTTCTCGTGCGTTATCGCGCCCGTCGATCGCGCGTTCCAAGCAGGTGGTGCAATAATTACCTTCCCGTTGGCGATAACGCCGGTGATAACGATAATTCTCGCGTTCGTCGTGCGGCCTTCGCCCTTTGCGACAGATAAATTTCTGATAACGCGGGTAAATTGGCCGGATTGTAATTGCCGTTGTGCGTGTTACCGGTGTTCACGCTGGGATGCGCCCGATCCCGCCCCCGAACGAACGAAATTCGCTTTCGACGGCGGAAAATACGGAGATCGGGAGTGAAGCACCGAGGAGGGACAGGTGGCGGGGCGGGGCGGGGGCGCGATTAAACGCGCGCGCGACATATATATAGCCGGCATTTAGGGCCCGTGGGAATTCGGGATCCGTACGGGTGCACCGCTGCCAGCTGTGCGGAATTCAGGAAATCATCGTAATGACCGCCGCCAATATGCCAAATCTTTTCATGATTAATGACGCGGAAGCGATTTTGTAGTTCGCCCTCGTGTGAATTGCCTTTGGACAGAACGGATTAGGGTAGTTAATGCTCGAACCGGGTGTGAAAGAATCGGATCGCGGCACCTGCGGTGCATTAACTGTGATACCCGAGTGAAGACTATTACACACATCGCGGCACTCAAAACGTAGAGATATCGAGAAATAAATATAGGCGCGATTAGTGACGCATCTATACTCTTGATTTTTAAACACTTTATTTGCAAGCTGCTCTTTTCCCCTTTTCCCCCATTTTCGTTCCTCTTGCGGGTTCCGCCGTGTGTTTATTTTACGCTATTGATTAATTTTTTATATTTTAAATATACCAATTTTTTTTTATTTGTTAAAAAATTGGAAAAATTTATTTTGAAAGACAGTTATACGAAAGATAACTATCTTGAATCTTGTACTGTTCATTCTTTTAAGGAAAGATGCGACGTCAAAGAAACTTAGCCAACTTATGTTGAGTGTGCTGAAGTGCAATATATTTCTTTAACTTAATGGGTAACTTACATATGTATTTACACAAAGTCTATAGCTGCGCTAAATATGGTACATATGTATACATAATATATCTAATATTTATATAATACATGTATTTTACAAAACTCTTCCTCGCGCGATACACCTCACCTGATACATACGCAGGTGATTTTCTACGTACGGCACTAGATCCTTTGGAAGAAATTTCACACGGCGGTCTACATTCTGACGAAACGAGATCAGTAAATGCGGTTGTCACACGGGCTGAATATGACATAAAAATATTTTCCAATAATACAATTGTATCACATTGTATTAAATATATTAACTATTAAGAATGTGTATATATATTATTAACTTTATACAATTGTATTAGAGAAAGCAGCGCACACTGCTTTGAGTTTGCAATCGCGCGAGTTTGATAATCGCACAGACGGTGACGCCTAGAATCCATTTGGATCTATAGTGAAATTCTGAATTTTCACCACACTTATTAACTAAGTAATTATCACTTTCAACAATTTTATAAATAATTTATAAATTTGTTATTATTGAAGAATATTCTAGTGTCATATTTAGTCCAGTGTAACAGTCAGCCTATGCGTTGATTTACTTCGAAAAACGCAGTCAGTTTCCGACATCGTTGAAACAGATTGTTGCCTGTGTCATCGTCGAGTAACAACTCGAGCAATATTAAATAATTAGCATGCGTATAATGATGCATAACACATCATATAATGATGCATAGTTGCATTATGTTACAACATTGTAGCTTTGAAATTATATTGATGTTTCGCTGAAGCGCGGATAGGATCGATAGAATCAATAAATTAACTTGTTTAAAAGTAACGATTTCAACAGCGATACACGCGCTTAATTAAAAATATAAATTTTGACAAACAGAAAAAAGTAATCAGAGATTTTTCATAAACTATTAGCGGTTTCTGTAGTTCCCTGAAATATGTTATTAATTATACTTATATATTTAATGGCGAAAGTTCAATATTTTTTTATCAATGACAGATTTATTGATTTTATTTCTCAGGACTTTAATTACTTGTTTCTTAAAAATTTCTAATTACTAGAAATTAATCATAAATAATTATTTTGTAAAGTATAATTTATTTATTTTTTTTTGTTTATGAAGAAAATAATATTTTTATTCTAAAAGAATATTTTGTTATTAAGATTTCTAGAAAAGGTTTCTGTAAAAGAGAACTGCATTGTTCTTCCGCTTAAAGTCTATTTATGGTTTGCTATATAAATGATATCATTTAACCAATTTCGTTCAAGATCAAATGTTTTGTTCTTGATTTGAGTTTGCTTTTTCATTGAGTAATAGATTCAAATCAATCGACTCGAAATGTCACAGTCTTCTTATTTCATTCCGTCCTCATAACTTTAGATCAAAGGAGCGCGTGTATCCGATCAGCCGCTAATTACTGATTGAAAATTGTAGTAAACTTATTATCACATCTATGCAAACTTCTAATTAGGATTAAAGTGTTGTGTAAGTCATTCAATAATATCGATCGAACAAACTATAGGTCTAATTGAATATGTTGAAAATTAGCAACATCATCGATACGCCGCGAAAATTATTCAAACGTGTAGTAAATGTCATATGTTCTTTAGCCGAATTAATCCTCAAACTCAGATTTTATAGACCGTCTGAAAAGATGATGCAAGAATAATTCATCAATAAACATTTTGCTGGCACTTGATATTTTTTATTCCAAACCGACTTCCGAATTTCTGAGTTTTCTTCCGAGATTTGTGTATCGAATGCTTGTCAAATATTAAATCGCGCGAATGACACAAAGCAAATACGAGCTCTTGCAGGCTGTAAAACAAGAACGTCATTTCCCGAGAATATTGGAGATTCCGCGGACGTTTATGCTCGAGTGAAACATTTACGTTGATATCAAACGGCTCCCGAGTGAACCGAAAAAAGAATCCTTTGTATGTACAAAAGTCCGTAAGCTCTCACAGTTAATTGTCCACCTTGCGTAGTGCCTCTTCCGCCTTCACTCTTAGCACTTCCGCACTCTGCTTCCTGATCTCGTCGTCGGACGACGCCGAGTCTTCCTCCTTGTCGTTTTTCGAGCTTAGGTTTTGCGGTATGCTTTGTACCCCGAGATTCAGAGATGCCCGTGCAGATGGCTTGCCAGGGAATGGCCGTTCACGTTGCTGTGATTCAGCGCCGAGTTCGGGTTCAGGCCGACGGGTAACATAGTGCCAAGCGACGCCAAGTTTTGCGGCAACGGCAGGCCGATGTATTGCGAGAGGAGCGCGTGCAGGGGTGGTAGCTTAGGCGCGCTCGCGGGCCAGGGTGGCGGAAAAACTGGGGGGATGAACCAAGGAAACGGGCCTGTCGGCGGATTCGCAGGATCCGCGCCGGGAACGCCGCTGGCCGTTTGTAGCAAGCGCGCGTGTAGAGACAACTCATTCACACCTGCAAACAGGATTAGACGGATACGCTTATTTCTTTTCTATTGCTTCCGATTTTACTGCTGACAAAGCTTATCTCTGTGGTAGCCGTATGTTTTCTTTGGAAATCTGACTTTTCTTCAAACAGTTTGAGATAATTAATAAAATAGATTAAAAATATGACAGGATCGCGCGGAAGTGATTGGTAAAAGATTAGTCAAATTTTTCTCATTGCCAGCCTCGTTCGTCGCGTATCTACAAGCTTTTACGACGGGGTGTTTCATGAAAAATTAATCTGCTAGGTTTCTATTGCGCATCATTCGCACGTGATGGCAGCGACGCCCGACACTGAAATTAGACGTAATTGTCACTGATTGCATCTACCCTTCGTAACGTTCTCCCCTGCACGTATTAGCGAGTGTAATACACGCGTTACTACGTTATAATGAAGCGAAGAGGCAACGGTGGGTGAAAACGCGCTTTCGCGATTGTCTGACGATCTACGGTAAATTAGTCAATTGTTGCAGAACTGGCACTAGTCAATTTTTGTACGAGTGACTCAGAACATGTCTTTTTTCTAACGCGGCATTAAATTTGAGAATCTAAAAAGTCTAAACTGTATTTTAATATTTTTTACGAAAGTGAGCATTTAATAACTATTGATCGTAAAAGTATTTTTCTCTGACATCTGAAAAATTTTCTCTTTTATTTATCATTTCTACCACAATCGACGTAGATTATTCTAATTAAACTCACCACCTTGCTCAACGTGCATAAAACTGGTATCTCTGCCCAACGCCTTTTCCTTCTTGCGCCACTTTGCACGCCGATTTTGGAACCAGACCTGAAACAGAAAAAATACATTATTCAATTAGCTTTACAGTTTTATACATATGTACTTTGCAAAAAATCTGTTACTTTAAATATTCGCGTAATGCCATTATCAATTTAAATTATTTAATTTGATATCTTTGATGACCGCGAATTCGTCACGAAAATCTGAAATTAGCGGAAAAGGGAAGCGCATGAGAACCCCAGGCGCACGTATCAGAGCAACCAACAAAAGCTTGCTCTCGAGGTTGATTAAGCTAATTGTTAACAATTATCCTGATTTCCTGCGTACCCCTGAGTGCCGGCAACCCCTGCCTTCAGCCCTACCCTCGTCTACCCTTAGCGACCCTATCGCTGGTCCAGTTAACGTACTGCTTTCGCCTTCCGCTTTCCGCTCAAGCTGCTCCGATTTTCCGTGGGTACCAAGGAAAGCAGCGAAAAGGAAAAAGAAAAGAGATAGACAGGAAGAGAGTTAAAAAGGGAAATTTTATTACATCTTAGGCATTATTTTCAAAATTTGATAACATATTTATATTATTATAAAATACTTATAAATAATAGAAGAAATTTTAGAAAATATAAAAAATTATGAATGTAGATATGTAAATATACGTGCATATAGTAACGTGCACATAATAATGTTATATAATTATATTTATATAGATACTATATATAGAAAAATAGATCTATTAATAACAAAAATAAAAATAAGATAATGTTCTTTTTTTATAGCACATTCGATTGGACGCATTAATGCACTCTGATACAAATTAAAGCAATTTAATGTATCTAATTATAAAGACATAAAACACTTTGAAACGCTCAATTATAGTATCAAATGATAAATTATGCTGAGCATTAAATTAATGTAAAAGCATATGTATTGCATATAAGCGGATTGGATTCGCTGAATTTGTTGAACGTTTTTCGAAGAAAAAACTATCAACAAATTATTTTGAATGCACTAGGACGCAAATTAAAGTATCATACACAAATTAATGTAAAAGCATACGCATAAGTTCAATCCGCTTATATGCTATTTGTGTACGATACTTTAATTTGCGTCCTAGTGCATTCGAAATAATTTGTTGATAGTTTTTTCTTCGAAGAACGTTCAACAAATTTAGTGCTGTAAAGATTATGATTTCTCGTTTACGACGATATTAATTATAACTTACTTGAAAATCAAATTGAATTATGACTTGCAGCCCGCTGGATTGCGATAAATTAGCGAGTTAGTTTTGTTGGATTACAGAATAAAATCAAGCTACGTGAGAAAATTGAGAACACGGAGCGAAGAAAGTGGTATCAAGGAAGAAAAAAGAAATAACGTTGAAGCGAGGGAAAGAGGTCAGCGAAAGCGAGGGCAGGAAATTCAATTGCCTAATTGCTGTTAATTATTTAATCGCTCCTGAATAGCCCCCAACGCTTAAGTGCTCGCAAACCTTGCGTCATTTAAGCGACCCGCCGCCAACTCGAAAGTTTGCAACGATGACGCGTTTCCATAACTGCCATATTAATCTCTCGAACCATTTACTATAGAAATTAGTGATGCTTTCATATGTATCGATCTATAGATTTTTTTATTGACTTAAAAATTTTCAAATATAAATGTGCTTTTATTTATTTTCTGAATTAATACAACATTGTCTCTTACAATCTTCTAAGTTCTCTGAGTGTAAGAAAATATTGCGTTTGTTTAAAAAATATTTACTTTGCAAAAAATATTTAAGAAGATTATGAAAAATATTTCCTCGAACTTGATATAAAATAATTTGTTGCATAAGTTGAAAACAGTATTATAATATTTGTAGATAAAGATTGAATTTAAATTATAGTCGAAAAATATTCAGTAAAGAAAAGAAAGGTATTAAGAATATACAGTGTGTGAATGTAATTAATACAGCACGAAATTCGAAAAAAAACTCCGTAAAATTGCGTCGTGCCTGTCCATGAAAACCCATAAAAATTCCATCAAAACGTCCAGCCATCGCAAATCTGTCGCGGTATAGGAAACGTGAGAAACGGCTCGCGATTGCATTACCATACGCGCGCGATCGTCGATACATCGGCCAGCCGTTAATATCGAAAAATGAGGTAATTTCGCATCTGGAATCGGCGCGAGAGTGGGAAGGAGTGGGACAGGAGGATTTCCTAGATTGAAATAAAGTGGCCGTAGCACCACTGCGCCGCGGCGGATCATTTAGCGGTTTTGTCGAGCGACGGCCAATTGCCGGCATTGTCGCTCCGCTGTACCACAATGGGCCAATCGGAATGTTCTCTGTCTCTTTTCAGCATCGCCGCCACCCTTCCGTTGACAACCCCACGCAACCCCTCGCACTCACTCACGGATATATGCATATAGAATATACTATATATATACTATATATATATATATATATATATATAGAAAGATATTTATATATGCGCCTACTCGCAAATTGTCGTCATTTTCTTTGCCATACATTAGAATAAAACAATTGAATCTATAATGCTAAGAACACATAGCTCGAAAATATATTGGTTCTCCAAAAGGCTAAAAAGTAATTTTTTAATATCTGTTAATAATTGTTACATTACATATTATATATTCTTCTTCTTATACCAATTTTTCACACGGATAATTATGGTTACTAATTTGCGAATAGTTCAGTTATTTAATTTCACTGAATTATCAACATATTAATTAGCGCCATTAATTTATAATTACAAATTCAAATATTTTTCACATAATTACTTTCTGTGAAAATTAACTTTGAAATAATGCGTATTAAAAGAGCATAAATTTATGCGTACACAAAGAAACGATTATCCGTTATCCTCTATTGAATTTTATTGCAATGCTGTAGCGTTCTTTATTTTCAAACATACTGTTTTAACGTAATTCCAAAGTAGATTACTGCTGCACACAAGCAATATCTTCTATGGAATTAATCATTGATCAATTCTAGGAATAATGGAACTCAAAATTACATATAAAAAGCGGTAACGTGAAATTTTGCGATACAATATCTCTAATTAGTTAAGTGACTCGTGCCTTGAGACTGAATCGCCGAAGCGCAATCCTGCAAACTCTCGAGGAGTTTTGATGCTCCTCAACTTTCGTAAGCTTCATGTAGGAAATAATCTTCGCATGAAAATTATGCACAAATCTCAATTTACTGTATTACGCTAATAGTCGTATAATACTATACAGTTTACCATCTTCTTGATTAAATAAAAGTAATTTAAAAAATTGCATTAAAGATTATAAAATTATAAAAAATAGTCTTTGAGAAAATAAATCGGAATTTATCGTGAAAAATAACAAATGAGCGGTAAATAAGTCTTATTGTAAATATTTTAAATACTTGAATTTATCATTGCGTTCGTCTACATGATACATATTATTGCCTCAAGTTCTTCTAATATAATCCCCATATTTAACATTAAATTTATACTCGAGCTGCTGCGCAACCTTTTAAACTTCATCGCGCTGGCTGAATCTAAAGCTCGCCATTCAAACTACTTACGAGACTCGCGAATACCTACCACTATCAAATGCGTGAAACTCAGCGACACTCGCGTGCCTCTCAGGCTTTGTGAATTCGTCCAGCCAAAGCGGCGGAAGGTTAATTATGCTTCTGCAACTGTCTCGCCGTCTGATAAAATCTGACTTGAACTCTTTCCCTCTATCTCTTCAAGCCGCAATTGGAATATTCGAATCGGTCGTTGCGGAGAGAGTGTGAGCGAAACGTTTGGATGGTCGTCGAGACTGTATTCTATTCTCGCGAAATTATAGTATTTAATAATAGAGGAGAAGGAATACAAGAGATTTATTCTCCTTTTGAGCTATAAACGCTTAAATTTACTACATCCATTATATTTATACCTCATATTTTACTTCAGCAATATGAACAAAAATTACATAGACCATCAAACATTGATATTAATATTATTCAAAACTTCTAGATTGAAAATAATTAAAAACACATTATGTTTGGCGAATTTCTAACTTTTATTTTATACTTCTATTTTCTTGTCTAAAAATTTGCAAGAATTTTTTCTATTTCTGCAAAATCTTTTCTTTCATGTACCGCAAGTTTTCTCTGCAATTATTATCTGTTAAAAGTACCTGTACTCTGGCTTCCGAAAGATCCAGTCTCATCGCCAACTCCTCCCTGGTGAACACATCTGGATACTGCGTGTTCCCGAAAGCCTTTTCGAGCTCGTGCAGTTGGTAGGTCGTGAAAGTCGTGCGGGATCTTCGCACCTTGCGTGGTCGATCGGATTCGCCTAAATTCAAGGGATCGTGTAGCGTGTCATTGATCTGATGATCACTCAGGTGACCAAGCTCTGTGTCACCACCATCGACGACTGCGTCGGATGATGTCGCGTGATCTGAAAGCAATAACATAACAGAATTTAATAGAATAATCTCTGACAGCACAGTAGTTGAAAAATGCACGTAAAATTATGGATTTTATTATATTCGCCGCTCTTAATTCTCTTATCGATTCCATCCTCTCGCAAACTACCCAATCCGGAATGTTTAAAATGCGCAAATCTCTTCCGTGCTACGGATCTATATCGTGTAACATAAAATCAGGATCAAATCGAAAAACCATACGTGACTAATCGAGAAGAAGGACTTTCCGGAAGATGCGGAAATTTTTGACCTTCCGAACTTATCCCCGTGCACACCCCGCTTGTTAAAACGCCCGTACACGTCATACGGTAGCTCCGATACTTGAACGCGAGAGACGATCGAGGCGATTAAGCCGTATCGCTCGCATTGCCAAAACGAAATTGTCGTTTTGCCTGATATACCAACTCTGGCGGCGGCGGCGGCGGCAGCGGCGGGGAGATACGGGCGCAATTTTATTTTTAAGCCGCACAACGACCGGTACCGATATAACCGATACGCCGATGACGTCCGATCGGCGGATTTGCCAATTTTTAAGCCTCACCCGGCGCTTTATTTTTTTTCACCGCTCCATATATCCGCCCGCGTGTACACGCCCGCGAAATACCCTACAAATGTAAGTGCGCACATTATACGTATGTGCTCGACAGTACTTAAAAGCCGTCGCTGTCAGTGATTAGCAAATATCACGAGTGCATGCTGCCCCTGTCCTCCTCCTCCTCCTCCTCCTCTTCCTACTGCGCCTCTTCTCCCTCTCGCGATACAGCAACAGCCTTGCACCCTCGTGCAAGCACATGCTCTTTCCGGCTCTACGATCGCACCCGTCTCGTTCCCCAGTCATACTTCCTACCATGACCACTCGTTCTGTCTTTCCGCGAGCATCGACAAGGGCTTAAAGCCCCATTAGAGTAAACTACATGTAGACGTACTAGGCAGGTATTTTGTTCGATCTGCATCAGGCGAGAAATCGAATCGCGCCGTATGTCGACTTTAGGACAGGGGGATTCTTCGCGATTGATGTTAGATAATCGCGCATGTAATAGCTTCGGTTCACGGATAATCTTGTGACAAAATAAGATATAGAACTATCATAAAGGCTGAAAAGATTAATTTATTAATTAATTACAATTTGCAAAATTCTTTATTTTGATATTATATCTGTTTTTCGCATTTATTTGAAAAATTTGGATAATTGACGATTAATGGTGACGGTTATTTCAACAACTTTGTTATAAAATACTTGGAACTCTACAACGGTCAAATCGATATTCGCAAAAATGTTTGAAAAACGCTTCTGCAGTGCACGAGATATTGTGCGAACGCTCAAATAATAACAAATCTGCATATAATTTCAAAAGGCACTTGACACGTTAAAAATAAATTTATCGTGACGTGTTTTTTTTTTAAAGGCTGGGAACGAGCCATTATATGATATGCGCTTGATGTCGCAGAGGCATAGTTGATTTTTCGAGTGAAAAGTAGCAGAAATTTCTCGTGTATTCCATAAAAATACATCATAGTAATGTTATGGCGGTAAAACCCGGCTGGCGGCAAAAATCGAGCATTGCAACAAACCTTATTACTCTTTGATGCTTTGTAAAAAGTAATATATGTACACATGCGCATCACAAATTGACACGCAATTTATTATTTCCCTTTGAACTCTCTCTCTCTCTTGTACAAATCTTGAACGATGCGACCGATCTTTCTCTGGCTTTCTCATTTTTGCAAGGATTGGCTTTCTATAGCTCTCTCGCAAAATATCGACAACACAAAGTGCCTTTTGTAAGGTCAACTTCGTTACCAAAAATCTGAAGTAGAATGAAACTTATCCGATTTACTGTTTGGAAAGGAAATAACAAAAATCCATCGATTATGATCTAAAAAAATATTTTGATTTTTTGTATTATATCTCTTTGTACAATTTAAATATTTTTTTAATTAAAAATACCAATTATTCAAAAAATCTTTATAGAATTATTTAAAAAATATTTTTAATGAACATTGTTATAAACATAAAATATAAATTATACAATATGTCAAATATTAATAACATAATTCTTAATGTAATTAGAATAATAAAAAATTGAAATATATATTTCAAAATAAATTAGTAGAGAGATACAAGATATTCACTATGATTTATGTACTTAGTTTTATACTAACGCTTACTGATCTATTGATAAAATCGATATTAATGAATTGCAGCTTCACTACTCACATCAACTGAGCTAATTAATTAGCTAAATACATATCGCGCTTTAGATTAATGTACCTAAATTGGATAACGAGATGAAGCCTGAGACCGAAGCAGCAATTTCAAAGTTACAACGGTTCGCTACGACTCCGTTTACATCCGCTTACGCGCATATACTCCGACTAATTTCACATTAAATTATTATATAATCTGCTTCGCGAGAATTTCTGCAAAATCACTTCATATTGCACTTTATATTACCATATCTTTGAAATACTACTTAGCTTGACAAACAAAATATGTCTTATTATGAGCAATTTCATGAATTCTTCACAAATTAGTTGATTTTAACCACCTTTCATCGATCAACTCGCACACACGTTGTAATGAACCATTTAGCGCTACATATTGCTGTCCAAAGTTTAAAATTCACTTGTTCAAAACTTAAGTCTGCTACAAATATAATCTACCTAAAAAATATTGTTGACGTCAATGACAAATATTCTCTAAAATTTGATTAAAACCCATATATCAAAGACTTTACTCTGCTCTCTCATTAACTTGCATCCATAATCTTATGCCTTTAATTTATACTATCAAGTATTTCAATTTATCAAAGTAGGAGTCAATCTTTCGAATAATTGCAAGGATTATTCATCTTTGCAGCATATATTACATCACCCCACGTCTCCGCCGACTAGCTAACTAATTAGACAAGCATTTACTACTCATGCGTAATAATGTTAATCCTACTTTTCGGTGTCGATACACAGCCGACAGTTATGATAGGATAAACCGAGAAACGATTGAAAACATATACGACGCGTGTGCGTGTTGTCAACGACGCATGTGTGCACGCATATGTGTGTACGCACCGGGCTTTTGCACGCACATCCACGCAGAAAGAGAGGCATCGTCGTACTAATCCAAACTGAATAGGGAGATTTCAATGTTTTTATGCTGGGGTACAATGGAGTACCCACTTGATGCTTAGCTCTCTACTGCTTTTTATTAAATCTACGGTGCGCCGACGCCTGATATGGACCAGGCGACTAGGGCAGAGTAGTCGGGAGGGTGAAGCTCGCAGCGCAAAATTAAAAATTTATTTACCGTGCCGATCAGGCACATGTTGCAAATCACTCCGTCGTGATAGCCGGAGAAATCAACCGTAGAGTAATGAAATTGTCGACCGAAACATTTGTGTAATTATAAATATTACTAAAGAGGATTATAGAACAAACGTAAATCTCTTTACATTTTCTGCAAAGTATTCAATAGTTATAACAATATATGTTTTTGATAAATAACTACAAGTTAGCTTCTAAAAAATTATTTTAATTAAATCTTGTTATAATCTTAAATGATTATAATCTCATCTTTCTAATCTAACTTGTACAAAAATTCCTGCAAACATTGTTTGTGCAAGTCGACATACAAAAGCAATATTTGCCTGCCGTATACCGTATAAGCGCTTTCTGTTGCGAGAATGTAACAAAATTATTTTAAAAAGTAACAAAATTGTAACAAAATTATTTAAAAAGTAACAATAATAGTACTAATAATAAGAAAAAGATATTTTTATGTAACTCTTAACTCCTCTTTTTGAAAACGTGGGGTAAATTTGAGGTAAATATAATCAAAGTCGGTAGTCACACAGTCAGTCTTAATTTGTTCTCGGCTTGTGAAAAGATGTTAAGAAAAAATAATAAATTTTTAGAAAATGCCAAGATTCTCTTATTGTTAGATCGTATGATTTAGGTAAAGCCCGCTTGTTTTCACAATAATTAGGATACAATGGTAATGTTTTCCAATTACGTCCGGAATGGTCGTTTTTCTGGTAAGGCGCCTATGCGCCTATGCGGATTATGCGTCTAAGCGTTAAGCGTTAAAAGGGATTTGCGATCCGTCCAGTCGGTGAAATATACTTTCGTGAGACAGGAGCGGATTATAAGTAGCAGAGGACTTTACGCTGAAAATCTAATAAAATCCTTAAGAGGACTTACGTTAATACGCCGGCCGCGAGTATTCCATAGGATAAAACGCGATGAGACCACGTTCAAAAAAATGTTGTAAAATGTGTGTGCATTTATGACAATTTATAAAATACATCCTGAAGTTTTCTTATGAAGACGCGCGCTACAATGCAGCCGTGCTGAGAATATTTGTTCTGTATACACTAAGATAAATATGAGTAACTAGATATCTCTTATTTTTTAAACATGTCTTTTTATTTATTTAAGTAAAAATTATATACGTGCATACACACGCACATATATATAGAATTATTATTATAACAAGCACAACATTTTGCTTTCCAACTAAGAATGATAAATAATAATATCAATGGAATGCAATTAGAAACGTAACAATTCGTGCGAGAATGTATAAACATTGGATACGAATATACATAAATAATAGCTTTAATAACTTATATATTCAATATACCTAGAAAATTGTTTCTATAATTTCTCGTTCTTGCACATCACGTGTAGTATTTTTGCTTTTGTACACCGCATAAAAAGATAGCATACATCATAATATACCCTGTACATTCATCGTTTGCATGTCGTAACTTCGTGCCGCAAATTCGCGTTGCAGTAGTTATCACTAATCGCGTATAAATTAAAAATTAAGTAAATCCTTATATTAGAATATATCCTTCATAAAAAAGAGAAAAAATATAAACTATCCAAGATAAAAGCATTGTCAAGTCAGTCATTCAAAATAATGTTGTTTTCCAATCGTTGCGGTTTTAACAATCTGGAAATCGCGACATGTTTTTGCATGATATATTCTAGTAATTTATATATGTACAGAGAGAGAAAGAACTATCTGATATATGTGAGAGAGAAAACTACTTTTCGTCTATATATCCTTTCACTTGTTTGAAATCAATTTTTCTCTATTTTATAATCCATTTTATTTATTGTAATTGCTTCTTAATTTGCAATTATCATTATTCTGGTTGATATTTGGTTTATAATTTTATTTAAGTTTATTTGCAATTATTTAAGTAAATTATGGATATAATTAAGCAATCGAGTTAATCATAGTTATTTGTTCGTCTTTCTGAAATTTTAATGTTAAAAATAATTATTTATTTTGAATTTTGTCAAACACTTAAAATTAATTAACCCATCGGTATTTTTATTAAAACTATAAGAATTGATTATAAAATATCTATAATTTTATATTATAAATAAAAAGGTGATTTAGCAAGTCTGAAATACTCTGTACAATATATAAATTATAATTTACGAACGTTAATTAAAATATTTAAAATATTATTGAGTTTATTCTATATAATTTCTACTTTTTTATACTTTTTTACGTCTAATTTAAGACAAATAATTATAATTTTGAGAAGGAGAAAACACGTTGATTGATTTGAATTATTATCTCAACATTTCATACATTTTTATTGTAAACTCAAATATGATACAGTATAATGCATTGTATGCATTTTTAAGATCAAATCGACAATGCACATCAGAAGACAAAAACGTTCGTGCGTTTAATAAAAACGTAGGATAATGATCGCCACAATGTTCTGTTTGCCTATAAGCCACGGTTGTAGTTTAGCTGGTAGCGAGTACACGTAATAATGTAGTTCTTTAAACTTGATAACACGATTTATCATGATATTACGATTCCGCAAAATGCACGCATTGAAATAAACCGCCTTCGTGCATCTCTCTGTAGTCTAATCGCGCGCATGCACTCGCGTGTCTCAACACACCGTGTAGTAAATTCACGTTGCACCGATCATCGCCACAGATTCATAATCCACAACGACCTAATTGCGTTGCTTTTAATCGTATAATCCTAATATTCACAATGTATTTTACTATACACACTACTGTACACAGTAAAATACACAACATCTTTTTTTTAAATATCCAATTTTTTGTGCTCACAGCTAAAATACATTTCTCAAAAAATTTGCAAGATAAAATATATTTCGATATTTTCTTTCGTTTATTATTGTACAAATAGCTTTTTGTTACAAATTATAAATTCAAGAAAAAGAAAACTAAATATCGGCATTAAATTTTCTGCGCAGTTATATATATAAATTCTTTTAATGACGAGAATATTAAGATAAATAAATAAAGAAATCTATAAAAGAATTACAATTATTTTCTGGTTTTGCTGATTAATAATTTATGGCTTGTAATTAGAATATATATATATATATATATTTAAAAATTTCATATTATAATTTGTAATTTACTTTATTTCTCTACAAAAAGAGAATAATAAATAGATCTCTCATAAAATGTGCTCGTAAAAGCCTGCATTATATTTATAATGCGATCTCCGAATAGATATTCAAATCAGCGACTAGTAACCTTTAATGACTTCAAAACCTGGTTGATTGTCATTTCAGAAATTACACATGATTACACGCCTTATCAGATAATACACGCATTTGACTCACGATGCGTCTAGATAACCTATTTTGTCACACACACAAAAAAACGTGTCCGTCGCTATCGCACCGTGATCGATCAGTATCGAGGTAATAAAAACTGTAACGGACTTCCTAGTTTGTTAAATGATCAAGGATTCCACGAACATAACTAACAATAAGATCTAAGAGAATTTATCGATCTTACAATTATTATGATCATTGTTTCATGCTCGATTGTAATGAAGATATGATTGTTTCATTATACTAAACAGTGTGTTGTAGTAAATTTGAATCAAAACATACATAATGGATCTATCTCTTAATGATTAATCTAAAAGAAAAATTTGCCATAAATACAATCAAAGATTTAGTTTGTACAACACGTTTGTAAAACACACACACACACAAATAGTATAAAAGAAAGTCAAATTAACCAACGGTTTCTTATAGAAATAAATAATTTTCCTAGTTGATGCGGTATTAGTCAGATATGCAATAAAGGATAAGATTTATTAATAACAAATACTTTTTAATTAATGCTGATTATAGCAATGATTATCAAAAACGATTTTTGCATTTTAAACTCTATAAAAAATATCATATAAATTTATAACTGAAATGTAACTGAATAAAAATTATTTGTTTTTATCTGTGTATAAAATAAAGTCTTTAAAGTTTTAAGTCAGTTACTATCAACGTCAGTTTCTGCACGTTTCTGAGAAAAAGAAAAATATTTTGCATACCTTCTTCTTTGCCATGACCCAAAATCTGGTCGATGCTGTATACATTTCTCTTTTGATTATAAGTCTGGGCCATATCTAAAGCTAAAGTTGTTCAGCAACTCCTCGGAAATCACTAATGTAAGCTTTCGCGATCCGCAGTTCTTTGGTTCACGAAAATCACTGGTAAATGATAAATTCTCGCTCCGGTAACACGCGCGCAACTTGAATGTTCCACCGAGTCGCGTGTGTCACCACCGAATGTGGTCCAACCGGAAGGAAGTGCGTGAAAGAAGACGAGAAAATGAAAGGAAGGTAGAAAAAGAGAGGGAGAGTGAGAGAAAGAGGGAATGATGAGACAGGAGGATGTTAAACGCTCCACGCTTCGGTTCTCCTCCTTCTCGACGGAAAATGCGTCAAACGACGGCGCACCACGAACTGGCTCGTCGGACATGAAAGCAGCCCTTAATATCGCGTACATCCGCCCCACCTCGCAACCCCTAACACCGCCATATTAGCCCCTCGGCCAATGAGAGAGCGTGCTTTTCACCCAAAGCCACCCCGTAATCGGAGGCTGAATGAAGCCTGGGCGGGGAATATTTTGCCCTTTCCGCGTAAATCCCCGGATTTTTTCTGGCCCCTCTACCCGTCTCTTCTTCCCTCCCTGTCCGCCCGCCCTCTTGCCGTCTCTTTTCGCCCTTCCAACCGTTTCCCTGTCCTTCTGTATTCGATCCATCGGTCTACGCGCTTCTTCCTCTTCATTCCTTCCATCTTCTTGCTTCAATTTTTGCGTTCTCCATGTGGCGCACTTTCTTTCTGTATTCTTTGTCCTTTCTTGCTTTTCCATTTTGATCTTTCTATCTGTCATTTCTGTACATGCTCTTTATTTTTTATTTCTTTCCCCTTCCAGGGTTTTGATAATTACGAATAATTCAACAAAGACAATGTTGTTGCATGATTTCATTCTCTTAAGTAGCCTGCGCCCTAGTTTTATTTTGCGTTGTTATGTATAATCGCCGCCTGCAATAATTATCTATCACACACGTGATACACATAATACTTTGCTATGTTATTAATTCAAAAAGCTCATTTAATAATGGAGGATAACTTTATTATTAAACAGCTCTGAATTTATAAGAGCAAATTAAAAACAATGTGCCATTTATAGTTAAGCAGATTAAATATTATAAAATTTTATGTAATATATATAAACTCTTTTTTCGTATATCAAATTTTTATTTTCTGAAAATAAAATTTAAAGTTTCCATAGACTTCTAGATCGATTGAAACAAAATTCAAATATTAATTTTTATTATTATACATGCTTTCTAAAATTATGACACTTCTATGTTTGAAACATTTGCTTATTAAACAAATGGTAAAGATAGTATAATTAATAAATATTTATATACAGCACTACACACACACACACACATATACGCACAAAGCAAAATTATACGAGATTCTTAATAGATTTATCCACTCTTATTTTATATTGCAAATCTTTTCACGAAATTTTAAAAGACAAAACTCTAAGCTTAAATGACTCTTGGACAATGTGGCGCTATTGACGAAATACCTGAAGACAGTTTCGAACCATGTTTTAGTGTACAACCTGACGTGACATCGACACGAGACAGACTGGTCCGCAAACAGATAAATCTAAGAGCAATATTTAAATGTGTCTCGAAGAATTTACAAAAAAAACAAAACTGTCTGGTGCATTCTTCAAGGCCCCATGCTAATTTGTCAAAGGTTTCTGCTAAGTCTAAAATAATATATAATCCTAAATCAATATTCTAATTCTATAACTATACATTTTTCGGCATGACTATGAAATTTTGTTTATTTTTTCAAATTTTTAATTTTGAAACACGTTGTATAATATAAAGTAAAAATATTATATTTACGTTTATAAATTATTTTGTTACAGAAAAATGTAAAATTCAAAATTTCCTACCAATAGTATTATTAATTTAACGAAGAAAATAATTGAACAACATGAAAATTGCAAATTATTAGATTTTTGAGTTCACGTCACAGATATTTCGGCATCGAGTAAGCTCATTATTAATGACATTGATCCTAGAAAGAAAATAATGTCATATTTTATAAAAGAAATTATCGGATATTCATAATTCTTGTGAAGAAACAAAACATTAATATCTTTTTATACGAGATATAGATAATACAATTTGTTTTATCACGAGTTTGTGCGATTTAGTAGCTCGATAAAGCGAGGTATCGAATCTCTGAATTGATTTGATTGTACAGAATGTTCGCCACCATCTGTATAAAGGCGTGGATGTTCGTTCTCGTCTCTGTTTGCCTCATAGTTGGCTTTATCATGCAAATATGGTATCGATACTCGATTCTTGTGACGATAGAGAATGGATTTTTTCAAAGTACCACTCTAATATGTCTAATAAAACTGTCGAATAAAATCACAGCAATACACGATACTCATTCTAAAATATTGCGTATCAATACATGAATACATAAATATAATTAAAAAAGCAATAGTATTTTCATATAATCTTATGTTGATAATTACTTTATACAATACAGAATACAGAATTTATTTTTGCGAATTAATAAAATTAATAATTATAATTAATTGATATTGATAACTAGTGCGGAGAAGAATTTTGCAGTGGAAGCTTACTGTATTCAACGGTCAAACAGTAGCCAGATTATGTTAGTGGTCACTCGTTAATTCGTTGATCCGGATGTGCGTTCGAATTCTATAAATCGGATATTCTTCAGGTCAAATTGGACTATACAAATACCATAAGCATTAGCAAATCTGCATCTTAAGATCTTAGAATCTTTAAGCTGTGCTAACAGGTACCTTTCAACCTCAGCATTAGTGTCTCGAATTATGTAAAAGAAAAAGGGTCTGTATAGACGAAATTTGAATTGTTTACTCAAATTTTATGTCCGCACTAATTTCTTTCTCTATGCATGTTTGCATTGTAAATTATCAATGTACAATTTTGTTAATTGCAATATAAATTTGCTACAAATAGTTTGATCGCGACTTTAAAAGTAACGAACTTTGAAGTGTGATATAATAACAATTATATAATTATAAAGTTTTATAATAATGTTATATAGTATAAGTATGCTTTCCTGCTGTTTTTTACAGTGTGACAGTCGAAAATCATAGCCTACGTGTATCCAAACACAACAGCGTTATGTAATTATGCCACTTAACTAAGCAGTCCTTTGATACATTCGCTACAATATTTGTCGCCCCGTTTATTTCAACTATTTCTGACACGCTTAAATCTCGTTTAAAATAGGATTCTTTTTAAGAATTCACATATTGCAAATAACGATCTACAATTGTTTCGCGAAAGCGTACACTTATATCCAGTCTAATTACGTTCTTGAGAATCGTTCGACTCTTCATTTGCACACGTGCAGATTTATAAAGGAATATAGCCCGTTTACTGATGCAGCCCGTTACAAACGCTGCCATATATACATTTGCGCGCGTGAGGAAGTTTTTGCTCCGTTTATCCTATAAAAGTCAGCAGTTCTTGAGGCTCGGTTTATCTGGCGCGCGTCGTGCTAGTCGACAAAGCTCGGTTGCGCCTCGGGGGCCAATAACGCGACGCCCCTGATGTACAACCACGAAAGAGCGGTGAAAATCCCTTCGTCACCCCTTGCCTACGTCGCACGACGACCTTCTCGTGTCTGCTAAATCGCGTTGTTGTCATTTCCGAAAGAGATCTACTTCCGTGGCGACAGAAAAGAAAAGCTGCAATCCACTCGCTAGAAATCTGTGTTGTCATCAAAAGCTCTTTTACTAAATAAATACCAAAAAAAAATGCATTGTAAATTCTAATTATAATTTGCCGTAACAATTCTTAAAATATTTCAAGAGAATTTAGCAATTAAATCAACAATTAAATCCACGATTAATTAAATCAAGTTAAAATATTGAAATTAGGAGCTCGACACAAATAAATTTTTATATGATACAAAATTACGATAAATTTAATTTAACCGACAACGTTAACGATTTGTTTTATTTAAAGTTTAGTTTTTACTTGTAATATGCAAACAGGATTTTTCTTCTTATCTATGACTATATTTAATTAAAAATATTTTTTCTGTGTCTCTTTATGAATATATTATATAATTATGTTCTACAATGTTACATTTGTGGAAATACGATTAAATAATTAGCATTCTTATTTCGTTTACCCCGTGCTTGCGTCTAATCTTTTGAGTTTTTTATTCCTTTTGGTAATCGAAATCCAAACCATACGGATTACTTACCCGCGCAGCCTTCGCCTCGTTTATCTCATAAAATTCAGTGATTCTTCGTTTCATTCGGCGACAACAATACGCGGCATGGCCTCGGGGGCCAATAACGACGTCCTTGATACTCTGTCCTCCCTTAGAGAATCAGCGTTGAGATTCATTCCCCTTTATGTTGTTGAGAGAAAGCTCGTGTCAATTTGAGGCACGCATTATCCCGTCGCATTACATCGCCGGGAATTAATTTTGCCATTTGAGTCATATGTCTCGATCAATCAAATAATTCTGGAAATGTACATATAAACGATTAGTAGATTCGGTTGAAACGAAACAAGAGATATAATTATCATCACGACACAACTGTTCGTAACTTATCCTAAAATCTTTATCTATGCTATTTATCAAACCGGCGTATTATCAGATTATTTTTATTCGTATAATGAATTATATATATATATATATACACTCTTTCTCTGCTAAAATTTAAATCAGGAATTAATACGCAAAAGAAAAAGATAATGAAATGAGATACCATAAAATGGATTTTGCACACACACGCACATGTGTTTCGATGTTCATAAATATTTCAGCGATCTCGCATTATGTGCGCAAACTGTATCGATTCTAAATCGATTTCTGCTTTATCCCATATTCTATTGCAATATTTTTTTCGATGTAAATTAAAGTTTTCGTAATAAATATTACTCTGATGGCAAATAAGTGCAGAACGTCGGCAAAAAGAGTAAATTTATTTCGCGGCGCGTCGACGAACGATACTGACGTCGACGGGCCAACGCAAATGCAGATACATGAAATGATCTAACTTTTAACACTCGACGTTTTACGTCAGTTATGGACGTCAGTAATCTCCGTAGGGGTGACGTTTGATCTTCACGCCGGTTCGCCGAGTCCATTGTGAATTGTATCTGCTTCCTTTGCGCCTCGATTCCGCTTCACCTCGTCGCTTTCCGCACCGCGAGCAACGAGCCATCTCTCTTTTCCAGATTTAATGCCGCCTATTGTAGGGCCCGGGTGGTGCCTTGCATACCTTCCTCGTCTCCTTCCTGCTCTCTTTCGGCCGTCGTCCGTGGAGCACCGTTTATTCGTCCCCCACGGATCCATGATGTAACAATTACGCTCACGAGTTATCACCCCAGCACCAGAGATTGCTAACGTTAAAGGAACACCTTTTTTTTCGCTATTTATGCCTGCTCGGCTAAATAAAAGTGATCTCGCTAAGAACTCTCTACGTCGATGCTTCTTGATATAAAAATGATTTACGAGTAAACACGCTGGAATACAATGCGCGACTTGATATGTGTGCGATAAAGAAGTGAAGAATCTTATTTGTATGTGTGGATAAACAGATCAATATTTTAATGAGTTGTACAGAATTAAATAGATATCATGTATAAGTCGCGTCTCTTTTGACTTTAAAAAGATGATTACTTTCGGGGAAAAAAAAAAAAAAAAACAGTACAGAAGAAAAGCAATACTAAGCAGATTCTAAAGAATAGACTGCGTGGAATTAAATAGAGAAAAACAGATTAAAGAAAATAATAACATAATGAGTTGAATTTGTTTGAAAAAATAGAAAATGTATGTTTGCATGCTAAAGAGATGCGGGGGGAAAAAAATACATGTATGGATATACAGGGATCGACAAAGAGAAGAGATCGGATGCAACAAACGGCGACTACGCCGCTGCTAAATAAACTGAAGCCTCCTCTCTGTACGACGTGGGGGGGGGGGGGTGACAGGGTGAGGGGTAGCGACGGAAAAGGAGAGGGGGAGAGGGGTATTGCACACCCCGGCGTGACTGCGAGGATTTTATTAACTTCTGCACAACGGCGGCGCGCCGCACATTTCGCTCGGAGTAGAGAGAAAACGGAGCAGACCTCGACCCCGACAAACAGCCAAATAAAGAGATAGTAATTATTGTGTTTGTGCTCGGTTTATTTCTTCGCTGCTGGCTCGTCCCTCGAAACGGGTCTCTCACTCCACCTCCACCCCACCGTCACTATCTGTTCGTCGCGTTGCGACGCCCACCTTTATCAGACTACTACGTAACGTCGAGGTAATTTTTCCATTTTCTATCAAAAGAGATTTATTTCAACACAAGATGTTGCGAGACTTGGAAGGAAATTGTCGATACATGGATAAAGTCTGCAAAATCTAAATAAAATAAAACTTTTTTCTTTATACAATATATATATAATGTGAAATTCCGTGGCGTACAATTGAATCTCTTGGCCGAGAGAAATGCAATTGCAGACTCAACGGCTTTAACTTATCGGAATTATAATAAATAATTTGCTCGACGCTAAATCGTCGAGTGTGCGCGATCAAAAATATTAGACAGTGGCAGAACATTCGGAAATCCGATCGGAGCCATCGGCTTTGATCCGTTAGACAGATATAGCATCTCGCACGTGGCTGAATGCTCCCCTATTCCCGAGATCGTGCTGTCCTTTTCACCTCTCTTCGAAACCACCCGCCTCCATTGCCCACTCTTTCTCTCTCTTTATCTCTCTCTCTCTCTCTCTCTCTCTCTCTCTTTACATTCACAGGTAATTCCAAATGATCGTGAAATAACCGCTCACTTATATCAATTCGCTGGCTGCTCTTTATGAAGGCGCATTCACGCGTGCCATCCGCGATCCTGCCCTCCGCACAAGGATTCGCTCTCTTCGCCCTCGTATAGTGACGGATTACCGAACAGGCATGTAAAAGGCTCGCGCAAAACCTCCTCACTTATAGAATCTTAAGACAAAATGAAAAATTGTGATTATTGTTTTCATTATGCGAATATTATAAATTATTAAGAAATAATATTTAACTCTCTTCCAAGATTTCTTTAATTTAGACTTCTCATTAATTTTTTTATAGAACACCTAAAATTAGTTTGCGCCTGGATCTTTAAATGCCTTAATTCGCCACTGTCTCTACCGTCTTTTCTTCCTGCTTTTTTGGCGATAGACAGTCCTTCTCTCTTTTTCAGCGCGTAATCTCCGAAATGATCAAGCCCCCTCAACGACCATCATCCACCTCGGTTCTCCTCCCCCCCCCCCTTTGCATTTATCCCTCTTTTTTCTATACTTATTCGGTCTCTTTTTAGTCGCGCGGAGTAACAATCATCCTAGTCAATTATTTCAAACGCGTCCGACTGCGCTCTCTTCATTGTCGCGTGCTAATTGCCCTTTGAAGCATTGCGAAATTGTCACAGTGAATTTTATTAGATTATAACTTAACGCGGCAAACGATGCAGACATTAATGAAAATTTTTTTAACGCCAAACTATTTTATATTGTTGAAGTAAAAACATTTTTTCACATTTTAGCTTCAATATAGCAAAATGATAAATAGCGCAAAACTATTCTAAAGAGTTTAATTAAAGAGCTTTATTATTGAAAAGAAGAACATCTTTGAAAATCAGGATGTCTCGTCATACTACTTACGACGAACCAGGACATTTTATAAAATTGTTCGATACCTTTTTGCAACTTAATCGAACAGGATAGAGGCAGAATCCACAGACAACGATTACGCAATTGAGGGTTAGCCGATAGAAGAAGCTAGAAAAAAAGACAGAGGATCGACCACGAGGAGAGAAGATGATCGTCCTCGAAGGGATTTCTCCGGTGAGTAACGCCGCAGCGTGCGATTCAGGAGACAATAGCCAGAAGAATAGGGAGGAAATATAATTGAGCGATTTGAGACGCCTTGAGGAGTGGGGAAGGGGGGCGGAGACAGGAAGGGAGACGGATCCGGCCCGATAAAGTATAATTATTTTCCGATAGAGTGGAAATTATTCGGGAACGAGCGTCGAGCTATTTGACGATATTCATACTTTTATTAAACGACTCTCTGACCGTCTCCTTCTTCGCCCCCTGCCATTCGCCCCCGTCCTCGAATACTTTTCCGTCCCAACACTTACCTCGAGATGCAATATTACACACGATGCAAAGAACTTTGAGTCGAATATTCGATGAACGAATAATTATCCGACGCTTAAAGTTACTGCGTTGAAAGATTGAGAATTTTACACAAAGTATAGAAGTTCTCATTGCAATCCGAAATATAATATAAATAGTTACAATTTTTCGGTTTGTATCTATTTCCACGCTTTTGTACGCAAAAGAGCTTTACAATTGTCATATTTTATTAATCGCAAATTGTTGTGTATAATTTCCGATCTAGCAGCTCTTAAAGTGATACAATACTCGTAGAACGATGCGATACATTATGATTCTTTCTAATTAAAGTGTGCTAAGAATCGCCCGTCCCGCGCAGCACGAATACAACAGAAAGACAGTCGCGAAACTGAAAGACGTAATTTTCAAGGTAACAGCGAGTCCGAGCGTATCGGAGATATTCCTCTTCAAAGCGGCCATAATGTCTCGCGAGAATCTGCCTCACATCAGTTTTGCAATATCTTATTTTATGAAGGCAGACGGACCCCGCCCTGCTGATGACACGTTGATAATGATACTCCGCAGCTATTCACGAGCGAGTAACATTGTTAACTTTGCAATACGGGGGAGGGGGCGTAATA